CTGCAGGGGCTGCTGCTGCGGCCCTTCGACCTCCACCGCTGCTGCTGCACCCAAAGGCCCTGCGAATGTGACCAGCAGCACATTGAGACTTTGCTGCTGCTGCTGTCAGCAGTTCTCTTAAGCACGAAAAACCGTGCAGACTCGGGGGCCCCCTCTCTGCGCAAATGCAGCTGCTTTCCCGCATTTTCCCGGGCATGCAGCAGCAGCAGGAGCAGCAGCAGCAGCAGCAGCAGCAGCAGCAGGAGAAAGACTTGGAGCCTATGAAGGAGGATGGGAAGCACGGGGGCAGCGGGGTGGCCCGGAGGAACAGCAGCAGCAGCAGCAGCAGCAGCAGCACACTGCCCAGCAGCGGCTCTCCCCTAACAACAACTTGCTCCCCCAGCACAAGTCCTGAGGTTTTCCTTCCTGCCAGAGCAGCAGCAGCAGCAGCAGCAGCAGCAGCAGCAGCAGCAGACACGGACTCGCCCATGACGCTGCAGCTGCCTCCGCGCCAAGGATCCCCAACAACGGAGGAGGAGCAAGCACCCAGCAGCACCAACAGCAGCAACAGCAGCAGCAGCAGCAGCAGCAGCAGCAGCAGCAGCAGCAGCAGGTGTGTCCTAGACGTCCGCGAGACTGGCCTTCAGCCAAGTTCCTCCCGTGGCTCTCAAGTGCGCAGAGCCCCTCGCACTTCAATTCCTCCAGCTCTCCGCAGCTAGCCACGGCTAGCTGTGGCTAGCTGTAGCTAGCTGTAGCTACCTATAGCTAGCTGTAGCTACCTATAGCTAGCTGTGGCTAGCTGTGGCTAGCTGAGGCTAGCTGTGGCTAGCTGTAGCTACCTATAGCTAGCTGTAGCTACCTATAGCTAGCCGTAGCTGCCTACAGCTAGCTGTGGCTAGCTGTGGCTAGCTGGAGAGTTCCGCAGCTGGCGGCTAGCGCTCCTGAAGAAGCGCTTTGGATGGCTAGCTGGCCCAGCGCCGTCCCCGCTGGCTAGCTGAGAGGCCCCCGCAGCTAGCTAGCTGCAGCGGCTGGCTAGCTAGCTGCAGCGGCTGGCTAGCTGCAGCGGCTGGCTAGCTAGCTGCAGCGGCTGGCTAGCTGCAGCGGCTGGCTGGCTAGCTGCAGCAGGTGGCTAACTAGCTGCAGCGGCTGGCTAGCTAGCTGCAGTTAAATGCCGGCTAGCTGCCCTTCAGCCGCACCCACGACCAGCTAGCTGGCTGCGTCTGGCTGGCTAGCTGCTGCCTCGCCCAGCTAGCTGCTGCGCCTGGCTAGCTGCTGCGCCGCACTAGCTAGCTAGCTAGCTGGCTAGCTGCTGCGCCTAAATAGCTAGCTAGCAGGCCAGCTGGCTAGCGGGCTAGCTAGCTAGCTTCTGTACCGAGCTAGCCAGCTAGCTAGCTGGCTAGCTGCTGCGCCTAACTGACTAGCCAGCTAGCTAGCCAGCTGGCTAACTAGGCCAGGAAGTTGAGGGCTAGCTAGCTAGCCAGCTAGCTAGCTAGCTAGCTAGCTAGCCAAGAAAATTTTCTAAGGCCGTCTGAGTCGCTAGCCAGGAGCTTGGCTAGCTGTCGGCCCTCTGGCTGCTTCCCAGTCAACAGCCCAACGACTGATTTTTCTTTCCGTCAGTTCTTGGTCATATTTGCTGCTGCTGCTGCTGCTGCTGCTGCTGTTGCTGCTGCTGCTGCTGCTGCGGGCACTGGCTGCGTCTGCTGCGCGCCTGCTTGCCAGCCTGTCTCGGAGGAGCTGCGTGGGCCTCTAGGGTTTAGGGTTTAGGGTTTAGGGTTTAGGGTTTGGCCCGCGCTGCCACAACCCCAGCTAGCCACAAGCAAACAGCTCGCTAGCCACTGCAGCACAGCAACAATAAAAGCTCCCCAAGCGGCACCAAGAGCTGCAGCTGCTGCTGCAGCTGCTGCTGCAGCTGCTGCTGCAGCTGCTGCTGCAGCTGCTGCTGCAGCTGCTGCTGCACATAAATATACAGAAGACACATTTACAAGTTTAAGGGTGTTTGGGGTGTACATACACTGGGAGGAAGCGGAGAGGAGTCCTCGGGGTCCCATTTGTTTCATTTTAAGTTCAAAAGTATTTTAAAAGTGAAATATTTAAATTAAAAACTCAAATTGGATAATTTTAGAGGGTTTGAAGGCGCGGGAGTCAGGCGGGGGCCCCCAGCAGCAGCTCTGTGCTGCTGGGGGGCCCCCGCTGCTTCTGCTGCAGCAGCAGCAGCTGCTGCTGCTGCTGCAGCGTGCCGCGGCGCGTTTAAATGGAATAAAATGAATAATAAAAAGAAATATTAAATTAAAAATGAAACAAATTTGAAATAGAGCTGCTTCGACTCAGCAGCTGAGGGCCCCAGCAGCGCGGCGCCGTTTGCTGCTGCAGCCCCCTGCTGCTGCTGCTCGGCCCGAGCCCTGGAGAGCAGCAGCAGCTAATTAAAGGCTTTATTTTTGGAATTATCTCGCGAGTAGCAGCAGCAGCAACAGCAGCAGCAGCAGCAACAGCAGCAGCAGCAGCAGCAAGCAGCTCGGGAGCC